TCGGCTATGTCGCGCCCTTAATCGTACCATCTTCTGCTATCACCGCCCACGTAACGAATCTGCATCGCGTGGGGAAGAAATTCCGAAAGATCCCCGGAGCAAGACGGGGGCCACGAATTAATTACCGGCATTGAACATGTCTCTGCGTGTACACGCGCGGAGGGGAGGAAGGAGGGAACGTCATCGGAGGCATCCGCGTACGTGCGCGTGGCGAATCTTGTTGTGGATAGTTCATTAGTCGCATTAGAGCAATTTATCAGCGATCAAGAGGCCCGGGGCCGGACACGCTTCGATTGTACCGAGGCTGGGTCGTATTAACGGGGCTGGGCCGACAGATAAAGATGAAGACGCGATGGTAAGAGCAAGCGAAGAACGCGGGGCATCGCCATGGGGAGGGAAAAGAAACGGGAAACTGATCCAGGAAGCTCTTTGGAGCAACGATCTCTTTACGCGCAAGCAATTTTTACGACGAAGCCACCGGGCCGGGCCGAGTTAACACGCGAGGTGACCGCTTTCAAACTCCCACCGCTTACCGCGAAACTGAACAAAACTGCAAAACGACGTGAACCTCGATTTCATGGTACCGAGTCGACCCTTTGTTCTTTTGAAAACATAAAAAATAAAAATGCTTATAAAGAATAAAGTATAAGTAAAGCAGCTTGTTAAAACGGTCGAGTGACTCGACACTCGGCCAGGAACGAAACGGATAAGCCAGATATCGAGGGCACCTGTTCCGTTCCCGGTTAAGCTACCCCTTTCTTTCTTCCTCTCCTTCGCTAATTACATCCTGTTCGATGTCAAAATATCAAGATCTGTTCGGCCGCGGATAAAGGAGAGCCTCTTTGTTTCTTTCTTTCGACCGAGTCGTTCGCGGACAGAGCAGTGATAAGAAGGAGATAACTTTGAAAGCGAGACCGTGTTTCGATGATTGGATCAATCCGATGGATACACGTTTTAAACACAAGTAAATTCGAGCTAATTACTAATCAAGAGACCTAATTACACCTACGGATGCTGAAAATATTCGGCTAGATAAGTGGAATTTCGCCGTTGGCAATATGATTGTCAGTCTTTCTCGTTTCGTTCGCCATCAATTTAGTTCAGCGTCAACGCGTGAAACCCCCGGAGTATCTGAGAACCACCCACTTGCATTGGTAACTCGATATCCCAGAAACGACCGATCGCGTTAGATCAGCCGATCGTTCGGTTCTCGTCGGTGGATCAAATCTAGAGGAACGAGTCCGGCGCACCGCTGGAAATAATTTCTTCCAATCTCGAAGGATATTGTATGTTACACGTTACGAAAGGGTGTCACGCGCGTAAAGCCGGGTTCACTGGACGGACACGCGAACCCGCGCCGCGTAATAACGCCAGAGCAGAGCCGAGTCGCGAGTCGCAATCGCAATGCGGCGACAACCGGCAACGCACCGAGAAAGATCGCGCATGCGAGCCAACGAGATAAGACGGTTTCGGACACTGGTGGAAGCGGCCGCGGCCGGTCCCGGTGTCGTGACGGGATGTCTGCGCTATTCCATCTTGGCTGTCACTCTTGTATGACACATAGACGCCACTGCGCGAGTGTCTGTGTATAAATACAATCGCCGCCAAAAGTAACAGGCTAACTCGCAAGACTAAAACTCAGATCGAAATGCATAAGTTGGTTCCGTAATAAACAGATGATCTTTCTTTTAGAAATCCTCAGTAAATTATTATCAGATTGAGAAAAGTGTCATACAAGACTCATTGTTTATTATGTATTCATTTCTCTCTACGATTTAATTTAATTCTTATTTATTCCACTACTCTAAAAATAGGGGATGAATCAAGTTTACGACTTTTTCTTCAATCACCAATACTTGTATCATTTAAACGTATTCTGCGTACTCATTTTTGGCTCTCACTGTATACCATCGCGCGAGTTTCTCCGCTCGCTCGCGTGCAAGGGCTGCTCGACGTGTGAACACGAATCTGCCACGCCTTCTGCCTCGACACTTTTGCTCCGCGTTGCATTCGATACATAACTTGCCTCCGAATCTTAACCGGATAATTGTACCTCGTGTTAAAACCACTCCGACGAATACTTTCGCTGATACTCTTCGAACTGTTCTACGCGATAGCGCTTCAACTAATTTTCGCATTCCACGGTAAGAGCTGAGAAAAATCTGCGACAGGAATTCCACCGTTTCGTAAACTACGTTATCAGAGAGTCCCCGATCCTCCCGCGCTGATTCATAGAGCGTCGCGTAATCGGCGACCGCGGCATTTGCATCTCAGGCACGAAAACGGCGAATCAACAGCGGTGGGTGCCCGAGCGAGCGTGTTTGCAAAAACCCGGAGGGGGCTCGTCTTACACAATCCCATCAACGGGAAATCTACGTACGGTACTCAAATTTCAAGGCTTAATTTACGAGTGCCGCGGGAGTAAATCGCACGGAGGAATCTCGCGGTTCAGCGACAAATTTATTCCTTTTCCTAGTAGATATCGCGTAACGCGTATCCGTAAATAGGTTCCTCAACAAAATTTCTGTGAATGCGACTGAAACCATCACGGAGTACCGTCTCGATAAACGTTCAAACCAATTTCATACCATATGTCATTCTTGGTCGGAATAAAATCTTCAAGTACGGTTATTTCCAGAACCAAAATTTATGGATTAATTAAATATTCTCGTTGACTGGAATCACTCACGATATCAGGATAAAACGCGTGTCCGGGAACGTATGCGACAGAGACTTTCCGCAAGGATCTCGTCTAATCTCGTCCCTGTCGCAGGGTGTCTTCGCTTCGCGCGATAAAACCAGCCCCTTATCCCGTGGGATCTCGAGCGTGGCCTCGCGGAGATCGGCCGCCGCGATTTCGCGATGCATACCACCGCGTCCGCGAGCAGAGCGGAGCCTGAAGGCGTGCAGAGAGCGAAGCGGAGAAAAAGGAGACGAGGAAAAGAGGAGCTGAACACCCAGCTACCGAAATTGCAACTCGCTCCGTCTCAGCTACCGCGACGCGGTTAATGATTTACGTAATAATGAATCACGGTTAGGTATGCGCGATCCACGTGTCAAGCTACGGATAACTGAACGATTGCTATATCCATCGTTTTAGAACATTTACGTCGATTAAGAATTTAACCTGTAGCATTTAATGAGGAGCTGTTCTTTTTACTGCCTCTCGTTTATTGCAATTTCAAATGACATATTAATGTTAATGGAATATTAAAATACACAATTCCAAAGGAAAGAAGAAACTTCTGTTAAATTATTTCAACTCTGCACCGATTCGAATCGAGCTGACAAAGTAAGCATTCAAGTTATCATTTACTTAAGAACCAGTACAAGAATCGTCTCGAGGTGCCAAAGGGCACAGAAGGAGAAAGAGGAGAAGAGAAAAAAAATAGAGAAAAGCAAGTGCAACCGGAGATGACACTGGCCGGTGCAGCGTCCACGATGACGACGTCCGCGTCTGGCCGGCGTTGCACGTGTATATACCGTCCCGTCGCTCGTGAAATGTAGATCGACGGTGATTTACTTATCAAGAATCGACGCTTCGCCGGAGGTAAATGGTCGAGTCGTGACCATTAGTCGACGGACTGGCCGAGTCGGTGGCGAACGTATACGTGTGTCTACGTGTGTGCGAATCAAGACGAACGGGGGAGTAAGTAGGTACCCTACGCTAATATCCGCGCCGCGCCGTGTGAGGCCTCCTTCGGAGCCCGACACGACGTTCCCTGCCCCTTCGTATCCCACCCGGTCGTACGATATTCCTAACCCATGAACCTTTAAATTATTTCTCGATCGAAGCCTCGAGGTATCAACAATTTCGCACAGCGATTCTAAATCAACCTCGTCGTTTATATCTTAAGTACGGCAAGAGAAGTGAGAAAATAATAAGAAGCAAATGAAGATCGTTTTCATATTAATGATGTTTGTTTAAAAAAAAGATCATGTACTAGAGTAGTCGTTCCGGTTTGAGCATTCATCTTCTCGAAAATATTTGGTAGCGGGAAAGCGACGCGGAAGTAACGTTGGAAAAGCACGCCTTAACAGTGTAACTAATTCCCGCTTGGTGAGAGATTAGTGTCACAAAGTGGACACAAAATGTGGCAAGTCAGATAATTTCCACGTAATGGAGTGTTGATGCGGAGAGCGCGCGTGTTTTCTCGGAATGGATATCATCGATCGAAACGTGAGAGAATTCCTACCGAGCCAAGTTTGTCATCGATCGCGCGTTCTACGGGAATTTTCACTCAAAGGGTTGCTGTATTTAGGAGAGTATGTGATTTCCTTTTGTCTTGCTATATTCAGCGCATGATGCATAAGTCAGGAAATCGAAAATTGATTCTCATTTCGACTTACATAAACTCCTATACATACATATGTCATTGTCTTCCACGCGTTTGTCAGAATAATATTTTTGTTATTACAATGAGCAATTGCGATTGGGCAATTTGTTGTGAATTGCGTGCGTCGATAAAGCGTGTCCTTATCGTCGCGCTCAAAGCGATTCGAGAGGCCTTCATCGCTAACGCGCATTTGAAATTACTGCCCGCTCTAAAATCGTAGATAGCCGCCGCGAATCGTCTCTGGAGTCGCAGAAATTGCCGCTTCGCGGTTGACTTATCGCCGTGACGAGCAAAACGTATTCTTAGCGGCGTGTAACGAGCCTAGCCCCGTTGCTCGGATCGTTACGCGACACATCGAGGAGACTAAAACTGGTGTAACCGTCGACGAAAATAGTGGCCGGAGGTTTTAAACAAAAACAGTATAATGCGGAAGATTAAGCCGTTGGTCAATAAAGTTAACGAGTTGGAAAATTTTCAATTTCTGTTTAGCATACCGCCAATGAGTGGACGAATTTCTCGTAGACGCGCAATTATTTCGAAGCGGTTCGATGCATGAATCTCGCGAGAGTCAAATCGACCTCGAACAGTTTACGTAACGCGTCTGCCATTTCGGTCGAGGGTTAATCACCGTAACGAGTAACAAATGTTCCTGCGTCGACTCACCGATAGTAATCCTTCTTACAGTAGATGTTTCCGTCTCTACTGAAGCAGGTGACCTCTCCGTCCAAGCCCTGGCGACAGTGGGAGCACTGAAGGCAGGCCGCGTGCCACCGCCTGTCGACCGCTTGCAGGTAAAACCTGTCGGATATCCGGAGGCCGCATCCGGCGCAAACTACCCCCGGTACGTCCTCGGACTGTGCCGGCGGCGTCGGCGGTGGCTCCAATTTCGGGATGGCGTGCAAGTGTTCCGCAGTTTGTTGCTCCTGCGTGTGAGTCTGCGGGTGGAGGTGCGGGTGATGATGGTGATGGTGATGGTGGTGGTGCGTTTGCGGTGGCATGCTTAGGTCGCTCGGGTTCTCGAAGTTCCCGTTGTTGTTGTTGTTATTGTTATTGTTCCTATAGTCTTGGCCACCTGGTGAACAATTAAAAATCGTAGATATTTTATTAAATTTAAAATACGATTTATAGTCTGAAGATGAACTTATATCAAAGAGCTACGATCGTGTTCCTTCGTTTTATTTTTAACGTAGAAATATGAAAGACATGACAAACCTCCGGGAGAATCGTAGTCTCTAGAGTCGTAGGGGGTGGTGGGTCCGTCGTAGCAGTTGTTGTTAGTGCCGCAGTGGGTCTGATGCAGGGGCGTATGATGGGGCCCGTGATGGTGGGCGGCAGGAGGACTGCACGGTAGGGTGGTGGGTCGTGCAGCGTCGCCCATAGACGCAGGGAGGCAGGGACTTAGGTCCCTGGCCTGGTCCACTGCTCCGGGCCCCCCCGCGCTGCCGGGCCCCCCTTGACGACCCACAGCCAAGCCGCTGCCACGCTCCTGCGAGCTGGCCGGCTGCTGAAACAAACGTCAGATCCCACCTCTTTAGAAATTTCCGAGATCGATTCGTTTCGACGATGAAAATCAGTTTTTCACCTACTCCGATCTCGGCCTCGGCTTACAACGATACGGAACAATGCGCGAGCAGAATCGCAAGGATTTAAACACGTCGAAGGGTGTTAATCGCGCTGTGAGAGGCGAACGGAGAGAAAGATTTAATGGCAACGAGAGCGCAGAGTCCACCGGGTGAAAGCAATGCGATAACCGACACGTTAATTGATCCGTAATGTAGTATCGCGGTGTTAAACGATTGTTCCACGGGCACCTATTTTGCAACGAGACACCTAAAGTAACAATGACAGTGTTTCACTCTACACGGTTCAGCGGCCGCGTCGAAAAACCCACCTAGCTAACCGCAGTGGTAAAAGAAACGTGATCGATTTGCTTGAATGAAATTCTCACACCTATCGCGGTGTGTCCACGAAAGAAGGAACTATGTCACGATGAACAAAAAGACCCGATCGAAAGGAACCTTCGGCGATCGATGATAGATCGAGATCGAATAGACAGCCGTCGAAAGTGATCGAGGAGAGTGTTCGATTCTCTTCACGATTTATGTACAGTGTCAAGCGTATGGTACATATGGTAGTGGGAATATCTACTCGATAAAGTTCGCCATTAGATGAAAGACCGGGAGAGTTCGAACCACGTAACAACGCGAAAAAACGTGGCGTCAACGCGGACACCACGGAAACCGGGCTCCGTTGAAAGGCTACAATTTCCAACGAGGAAAGATCGGGGTAAAAAAAGTTCATCGGTAAAAGTAAGCAGCGGGACGCGGCGGTGGCGGCGGCGGCGCGGCGAACACCGTTTCCTCTCCTCGCGAGGACACTTTCCATCGAAGTGAACGAGGAGGGACCGGTAAAGGACATCGGGAGACGTCGGAAGACGTCACAGCTCGCGGCGACGTACCCCGTGCACCACCGATGCCCCAGCCGTGGACAACCGGAATAGGCGAAATAGGACAACAACCTAACAGAACGGACGAACGAGAACGAGAATCGGCGGCGGCGACGGCGACGGGGACAGTGTACGTATCCAAAGTGACAGCGGATTACGGCTCGGTTGACATCGGCAAAGGGCAACGTGGAGGCTTTGGAGAAAAGGAGAAAAGATAAAGGAGTCGAGTTGGCATGCTGACGGCGGTAGCCGGGAAGCCGGGTCGCCTCTGATGGATGTCGCAAGCCGGTGTGCGCGCGCATGCGCGCGACCCTATAAGGCGCCCGGAGCCGACCAATCCGACGAGGCTGCCGTGTTTCAACTGTCAACGCGGTTGCGGCGAGCTCCGGACATAAATTACGTACGCCGCGAGCTGCCCTGGTCCTCTCCTCCTTCTCTCTCTCCTTCACCTTCTGCTTCTCTCTCTCCTTCTGCCTCCTTTTTTCTCTCCACCCCTCTTTCTTTATCCATCCCCGGCTCTCTGTTCGACCACCAGAACCCTTTCTTCCATGTTTCACTTCCCTCTTTCTCATGGAAAACCGATGCCGCACTTTACGACACCAGATACCCGTATTTACTGCATCTTCGTCGAAGCGGCGCGTTTAAGATCGAGACTTAAGGGCGGTTAACTTTCTGCCCGCAGGACGATGCTTCTGTGCTCGCTGACCAAGTTAACTACGACTACGATTCATATTTCCTTCGCATCGAAACGACTTATTATTAATTCTTTAACTTTTTTATGTCATTTCCAATTTAGGGGTTGCGAGGCACGTTTCATAAAACTACATAAAAAGAAATGGAAACAAATAATTATCAAACCAAAATCTTTATTAAACTCATACATCACCGATTGGATAAAGCGTGAGCGTGAATCGAGGCGCGTGATTTACCGTGTTAAACGTAATAGAAATCAGCTTGTTCGTTTGTTGCCAGCGAATTTTCACCGCGCAACGCAACGATTACGCGGACGTAGGTTGTACGTTATGTAATAAACCGGGTCGTCGGAAAGAATCCGTGGAACGCGCGTTTCGAAGTGTCTCCCCGGGTGCTTCTGGCGTGTGCAACAACCTATCGAGTAATCGCGGCTCGTTTCCTTCGGAAGATCATTGATTAAAGTTTCGATTGGAACTTTGATTGGGCGACTTTCTTGCGGCGCTCTGCGCCGTGTCCACTGTGCTCGCGACACCCCGCAGTGATGAACTCGATTCCTTCACTACTAGTAAAACAAGCGATTCTCAAATTCAACGAATTCATTCGATTCATTCAATTTACAGGAACGAGCAAATAATAAAAGCGAATGGCCGCCATTTCTTACACGTTCTTAATTAATTTTATTAACCGGTCTTCTTCAATCTCGTATGAAACAGATTTAATTGTATGTACATCAACTTTATAAAACAGCGATCGATACCGGTTTTGTTTCTATGGTGCCCACGCAAAGCGATTCCTTTGAAACTCTGATGGAACAATGCAATGGATCATCGAGATTGCTCGCCAGCAATTTATACGTTGTTTCGACAAGGTGTACGATACCGATGCATCGCGCAAGGAGTCAACGAGATTTTTCATACGCCCGTTCCTCCGTTTAATGTCATTATTAACCTCCGCTCGAACAATGCCCGGATTTTTTTTTTCGACCACCGGGCGCATTTCTTAACGCGAACCATTGTGCCGACTGGCACTTTGCCGCGGCGAAAGACGTTCCTTTTACGAGCGTAGCCGCGCCGGCTTTTCTTTCGACGCGCCACAATGAAAATTTCCCAACGAACGCGGCGGCGTCCTTCCGTATCGGGCATCGCTGCAAAGAACCACTAACACCGAATGCAAATAGAAATAATTGAATGCGGAACGCGAGTGGAAACCGTGGCTCCGTTTTTCCATTCGACCGAGGGAGGTTCACTTCCCACGAACCATTTTCAGATCGCGATCGCGCCAAGTCGTATGTTTCTATTGTACAATGCTGGAAATGTTTAAGCCTTTCTAACAATTAATATAACGCGAACGGACAGAATAGTAGCTGTTTGTCAATTCGTTATGAAAGCTATTTAATAAAAATTGTTATAGTAGGTGAACAGGAGAGACGTTCTGATTTCTGTTAACGCGCGAGTCGCAATCGTGCGATTTATGGATTATGTTGATAATTGTGTGAACTCGTGGCAGGAGGTGGTATGTTATTAACACTAATGGCGATCGTTCTCCTACTAATCCGGATTCCAAACCATCGTCGATTGTCCCGAATACCACACACCGACAGCGTGTCGTTATCCCTGGCCATAAGGAGGCGTCAAGTACCGATATTCTTTCCGAGTAACAGGGTGTATTGGAAAATTTCCTCGAATAGAATCCCGGCTCGGGACGAGTTCCATTTCCAGAAATCGCGACGATTTCGTAAGTCGAGATTGATACGGGCATCCTATAAATTTCCCACGAAGCCGGAGACTCGCGGAGCGCGACCGACCGACCGACCGACCGACGGAACGGCGACCGGTCGATCGACCTTCGCTACGCCTCGCGCGGAGAGAGAGAGAGAGAGAGAGAGAGAGAGAGAGAGAGAGAGAGAGACCCTTATCCATCTTCGAGAGTGGACTTGCCAGAGGAGGCCGGACCGGAGCAGAACAGACTTTCACCGGCTGAACGCGCCGCGGTACAGCTTAAGGACTTGCACAAGACTCCGCCTTTTTCATTTTCACGAAACGTGAAGTAAATAATGAGCGCGGAATCCGCTGCAACGCGCCGGCTCGGGATGCCATACCTACCGGCACGGAAACCCGGTAGAATGCCAGCAGAAATGTCGCTCGACCGATTCTGGTACTGGCACCCTACATGCCGCCTCTCGCTGGTTCAGACATCGATTATCGATTGCACTTTCATAACACGACGAAACTTGAAGGTTTCCAACTTTTAATAACGCAACAAGAACCGACGACAGTTGAACCGAACCAAAGACAATAATTTAGATTTTATAGGAACGAAGAACATCGTCGAAGCTGTACGCTCTGTCTCTCATCAATGTCTTATCGCACGCGCGGAGAATAAAAAAATAATGGACGATTCTTTTTCCCAGCAGCTGCAGTGCCGCAGCGACTTTTTTCTTATTTTCGCGGACAAGGGAATCGGGGCAATTGGAGCGCGGATTCTTTTTGTCGCTCGCCACAATCGTGGCGTATGATTTACGAGTCCACCGACCGGGTGCCGTATGAATCGGGAGCGCGTCGAGAATTTTTCCAACGATCGTTCATTTGGAAAACGTCGAGCTCTGCTTAAACCGCGGTTTAACCATGGGAAAATGGATCGAGGTGCGAGTCGGAATTCTGTATGAGAGAAGGATGAGAATTGAACGCGTGACGGGAAAAAATTCCAAGGACTGTACGATAAATAACGAGAAGAGAAACTGATAAAAATTCATCGGGTATCAGGACAGGCAAACAGAGGCGCGAGATTCAGTTCAGAAGAATTGCATTCGTAGTTAATAGAATTTAATGCAAGATTAATTACGTATTGTAATTAAAAAATTCTCCGTTGGAATCCATCCTGATTGACACTTTCAAATTCTAAGCATCGCATTTCATTATTCGATTACAGAAATATATTACAGATTTTTCTGTCGTACGCTAGACTAGAACATTGTCATTGGTATTGCAAGCATGCATTATAGAGAACAGTATCTAGAATAAGAAATTTATCAGCAGGCTCGTACAGGCTTCCGAATGTCAACTCCTACACGCAATCATCGGCGCTAAAAGTCAGAACGCAACAAAAAGAGAGCAACCAGGAAATTCGTAGCGGACCAGAATGATCCAGTCGACTCCCTCTCCTTCTCTTTCCCGCAGCGTGTCGATTCTATAAACACACGCGTCCCGTGTCGGTCGCGGTATCAGCTTCCCCTTGGCCGGCCATGATAGTGATAACAATAAACAGCCTCGTCCACTCGTCGGGACCGGACGGTCGCTGCATAGCCTGTGGTTTCTACTCTTAAAACGCGTGGGCGACGCTTAACACCGTGGAGAACCGATAAACTG